CGAGGGCGACGACGACCACGACGACGACGACGAGGACGATGACCACGACGGCGACCAGCGACGACGACTAGCGACGACAACGACCGACGACGACGACGCCGACCACGACGACGACGGCGACGACGACAACGAGCGACGACGACAACGACAATCGACGCCGACGAGGAACGACGACGACGAACGAGGACGACGATTACGACGACGAGATGACGAAGGTTCGAAGATCGAACCTCGAAGTGCGAAGCTTCGAAATTCAAACTGCAACCTTCGAACTCCGAACTTCAAACTTCGAACTGCGAACTTCGCTGGGGTGCCAGGGATGCAATGGGATGGAGGGAAAAATGGGAAGGAGAGAACGAGGAAGCGGGAGAGGAAATTGGAGGAGAACGAACAGGCGTGGAGCGACGAGGAACGGGCGGCGAGGAGCCGACGTTGAGGGCGGCGGGATGGGGGGACAGGGAGGAGAGGGAAGACTTCTTTACGAAGATCGCGCCACGGCGCCTGCACGAGCGCTCCCGATCTCGGCGGCCGACGCGCGCGCCCCTGCAGAAATGCAACGCGCCCTTCATTCGAGCCCCGCTGCTGCTGCGGAGCCATCTACTCCGAAACCAAATCGTCTGGGGAGTTATTCGGTCCCAAAACTACTGTTTGCCACCCGCTGCTGCGGACGCCGAGGGCCTGGTGCTGGACGCCGCGGCCCCGCTGCTGCGGGGCCCCTGAGAGGGCGTCGGCCTCCCCTTCTCTCTGGCGGCGTCGAACTTGACCTTGCGCTCCACACCGAGGTCCTTGTGCCAGCGAAAAGTTCCTGACCCGTCGCTCCCGCCCAAACCCGCGGTTGGTGGCCTCACCGTGTCCGCGTGGGGGACGAGGGGCAGAGCTTCGACCTTCCTGTCGCCCCAGTGCGGGTGTAAACGGACGCCTGTCCCGTCGTCGCGGTGCAACACGAAATCCCACATCGGCAGCTTCACTTTCACCCGCTGCCCCGCGAACTGTCGCGCGCGCACAATACTCTGACGCATGTGGTCGTAGCTGTTTGGCCGGACTTCGAGGGAACAGCCGATCAGAGCCCCGCTGCTGCGGGGCCCCTCCACGACCTCCCTGATATCTTCCTCCCTGAGCGTCGCCACCATCTCTTGCCACCGCCAAGGGACTTCCTCGTCGCTTTTGAAACCAAAGCTCGTCCTCGCACCGTGGTCGCAAACAGCGACCATGGTGGGCTTCGCATTGTCAAACCACTTGGCTTCTGACTCGAACGGGGCAGTTGGGTCTTCATTCAGATGGCGCCACCATTTCAACGCTTGATTGTGTTGCTTAAACGAAGTGCCGAGCCTCTCTTCATAACTCAAAAAATAATTAACATCAAACTTCTCAAAATCCTGGGGCCCGCGCGCCGCCGCCGCTGCGGTGGCGCGGGGCTCCTGCGCCGCAGGCGCGGCTCGGGATCCCGACCCCTCTCCTGAAACTGCGTTCCCAAGTTCTGGTACGTTTCGGAGGGCAGCCCTCACGAAATTATCGAATTCGGGCTTGCCGAGACCAGGGGCGCGGGGGCTCACAACGCTAAGCGCGGCGAAGCGAGACGGCCGTTGAGACGAGACCGCCGCCGCTGCTGCGGCGGCAGGGCCATCGCGCCATTTGGCGTCCTCCGTTGGCGTGTGCCCGTCTTGTCGCCAGTCTCTCCAACCCCTCGCTGACCAATCATGGCCGTCCTCCCAGCCACGCCAGCCGCTGCTGCGGCTATCCCACCATCCTCCCGCGCCATCCCATGTGTATCCGCCTGCATCGCCCATTGCAAGACGATGGCGCAGGCGCGCGTTAGGCCGCGACGGGCCCAGCTGCACCGGTGCTCGCGGGCGATCCCACGGGCGCGGGGTGGTTTGAGCATAGCGGCGGCGGACGACGCGACGTGATTGGACGGCGGAGAACTTGAAAGGAAGGGGGGTTGGAAACGAATGAACGAAGTGGACGAAGAGCGGAAATCGAACCAGAGGGAGGCGAAAAAAGAGCGGAAAAGAATAAGGACATGCAGACGAAGGAGAGTGACGAGGTAGATGGCGGGCCAGAACGGCAACGGAGGATAATGTGGTGGAAATTGTGAAAAGGACGCATGGAACAACACGACGAGGATCACAGACGCAAAGATGATGAGCGCAGTGGTAGCATGACATATCCGAAATCAAGAAGCAGGATGAGGAGGAACGGGATGACGAGCAACTCTGTCGCAGAGAGCCTCCGAACGCACCCCCTCTGTCACATAGGGCCTCCGAACGCACCCCCTCTGTCACAGGGGGGGTCCGAAAAACACCCCCTCTGTCACAGAGGGGGGAAATGATCACTTTAATGCGGCTTCTGGATTAAGATGGCTCCAAGATGCCTCCCAGACGAATCAAGATTCACCCAAGACGGCCTAAGATAGCCTCAAGATGGCCCAAGACGGCCCCAGAGGCTCCCAAGAGGCCTCCAAGACGGCCCAAGAGGCCTCGAAGAGGTCCCCCAGGAAGGCCCGAAGAGGCGACAATTATTGAGTTTCCTTAGGTTTTTGACGGATTCTGGCATTTGCGCCTTTTCGGCTTTCCGACCGCCCAAGACGGCCCAAGACGGCCCAAAAGGCCCCCAAGGTCGCCCTAAGATCGCCCAAGAGGCCTCCAAGATGGCCCCATGACGGCCCAAGACGGCCCCAAGAGGGCCCCAAGACGGGCCAAGAGGCCTTTAAGACGCCCAAGATGGCCTCTAAGACGGCCCCGAAGCGCCCCAATAGGGCCCCAAGTCGGCCCACAGAGGCCCCAAAGACGGCCCCCGACGGCGTCAGACGTGCCAGGAGCCCACCAAGATGGCCGAAGTTGGCTCGAAGCTGGCCCACGACGGCCCAAGAGGCCTCCAAGAGGCCTCCAGGAAGGCCAGAAAGAACGCCCCAAACACTTATGTTCCTTAGGTTTTTGAAGGATTTTGACATTTGATTATTTTCGGCCTTCGGACGGCACGAGACGGCCCAAGAGTCCCCGAAGATCACCCAAATATCGCCCAAGAGGCCTCCAAGATGGCCCCATGACGGCCCAAGAGGCCCCCAAGACGGCCCCAAGAGGCCCCCAAGACGGCCCAGGAGGCCTTTCAGACACCCAAGATGGCCTCCAAGACGGCCCTGGAGCACCCCAAGAGGGCCCCAAGTCGGCCCAGAGAGACCCCCCGAACGGCTTCCGACGGCGTCAGACGGGCCAGGAGCCCACCAAGACGGCCGAAGATGGTCTCAAGATGGCCCAAGACGGCCAAAGAGGCCTCCAAGAAGGCCTTCAGGAAGGCCCGAAAAGGCCAACATCATGGATTTCCCAAGAGTTTTTGAAGGATTGTGGCATTTGCTTGTTGTTCGGCCTTCCAACGGTCCAAGACGGTCCAAGTGCCCCCAAAGATCGCCCAAGACGGCCCCCAAGAGGCCCCTAAGACGGCCCAAGAGGCCTCCAAAACGCTCAAGATGGCCTCCCAGACGGCCCAAGAGCCCTCCAAGACGTCCTCCAAGAAGGCCCGAGAAGGTCAAAATGGTCTCCAGACGGCCCAGATGACCTTCAAGATGCCCACGTGTTCCCCGAAGGCTTTCCAAACCGATTCGGGGAACACATGGGGAGATAGCTTGGCAGGTCTGGCCTCAACGTTCGGCCACACAGGCGTTTCCAAAAAGGCAGGTGGCGGCGGTGATTCGCCGTAGGCGTCTTCGATCCGCCGCCCCCTGTTGATTCATCGAAGTAGGGCCTGGCGTGCTGAACTTCTTACGATTTGGTTTTGGTTCTTTTCCAAAAGAACTCTCCCGGTGGGCTCCGGCGCGTCCCGCCGGGGTCCTGGGAGGATGCCGAAAGATCTTCCAGAGGTGGTTGCAAAGGGTTTTTCCGATCCAGACAGCTCCAAGATGGCCCAAGATGGCCTCCAAGACGCATCCAAGAGGGCAAAGATGGCCTCCAAGACGGCGAAGATGGCCCGAAAATGCTTCCAAGACGGCCCAAGATGCACCCAAGACGGCCTATGTTCATTCTTATTTTCCAGAGAAATGCTGAGGCGAAGACAACATGTCATGTGGGCAGTTTGTCCCACACAACCCGCAGAGAACGCAACAATTAAATAGGCTTTGGGCTGGCGAGGGCAGAAGCGATGGCTACAGAGCAAGTGAAGCGGACGCATACAATGAACAATACCGTGCACTGCTATGTTCACTCTTATTTTCCAGAGAAGTGCTGAGGCGAAGACAACATGTCATGTGGGCAGTTTGTCCCACACAACCCATCCTCATAAATACACCCCGTCTTCAAGCAATGCACTGGATTACCGCATCAAATTCCACAGGCGGCTCGCCCGCAGAGACAAATAGCCGTGAGAAAGTTCCCGAGCGAGCACGGAGCACAGGCGCGGGGGGTGGGAAGCTTTAAGATGAGTAAGGAAGCCGGCCTTGGACTTACCAGAGAGAACCAGGTGCGGCTTGCCCGAAAACGTGCACACACCCCTACCTTTACAGTGCCATGTGTATAGCTCTGGCGGAACAGATATATTGGCGAGAGCCATACGAGTGCGCGCGCGAAAAGGACGGCCAGCACCGCAATAGTCAAAGACAACAGTCTGGACATTGGCATGAGAGTGAAAACGCTGGCGGCTGGGGAGCAGCCGCAGCAGACTAGATGCGGGATTTTCCTCTCCAGCTGGCAGCTGGCGTCTCAGGGCGATGCCTAGCAAGAGTGCGACTCTGTCAGCCAGCTTGTTCGAGGTAACGACATCGTGATAGTCGGCGCCCTCCAGGCCTGGCAGGCCTCGCAGGTGCTCCTTCGTTCGCAAGCGACGAGGCATCACACTGTGAGGCGGAGCCCGGCGAGCCTGTAACCTTTTTTCACAAGGGCTGCCTGAAAACATGCCCCAGATGATACCAGACTCAAGCCAGCCTCGAAGGGTGCGGAAAACATCATCTTGCAGCAAGTCGCACTCTGGGCCCAGGAGAACGTCAATTGAAACCACAGCGCGCCCCCTTTTCTTTAGCTCGGCGGCGAGGCCACCCGAGCCTGAGAAGAGATCCAGGAACGCCCGCCGCTCGCCAAGGCGGCCGGCGCGGAGGGCAGCACGTAGGCGATGCCGAAGAGCTGCGGGGCGGCTACCGCCCAGATCTCGCAGCTCCTCCTCTGGGCGCTGCTGAAGGCCTGCCTGACCACCGCCCGCCAGCAGGTCTTGTCGTACCTCTGAACTGGTGAAGTCGCCCTCCACGTTTCTCGCCCCCGCACCTCCAGCGGTGCGCGGTACCCTGCAACGCAGACGTGTGTCGCGTCGCCGTGCCCCAGGAAGTGCGGCGAGCAGTCCAAACCGTCGAGCTTGAGGTATTGACAAGCAACATGGAAGTCGGCCAGGCGCTGCAGGTGCGAGCTCACGAACAGCAGCTCCTCTCCGAGGCGAAGCAGTTGCAGCCGCACGACAGCACGCCCAATCCAGTGACGTCGATGAAGGTCGAGCCCCATTGTGGAGTCGAATTCGCCCGTCCTGGAGCTGGTAGTAAGTCCCTCTGGGTGCAGGAGCAGGAGGGGTTGCTGCCGCCCTCCGACCACTCTGCACCTGCCTGGCAGAAACTGCATGGCCAGCGAGGTCGTGGTCTCCGACGGGCTCAGGTCGTACGCCACCAAGACGCACTGCCCCGAGTCTGGCTTTCCCCGCGAGGCCAGCACGGCCGCCATCGCGCGCGCAGGCGCCCGCGGCAGCGGCTGGCGGGAATGGCCCGACGGGCGCTGCGCCCCGCCTGGCAGCGACGCGTTCGCCGGGGGAAAGAGGCGCCGAACGGGCCTTCCCAGCGCGGGCTCGCCCCCAGCCACGGCACAGTGGGTGCGAGAGGACGCCTCCTGACCCATGCCGCGGTCGAAGGCCCACTCGGAGTAGTCCACCAGCGTCTCGTCCGACTGCGCGGGGACCCAGCCTGGCAGCGCCAGCAGCCGCGGCGAGCCCGAGCGCATGGTCAGCACCAGCAGGTACGAACGCACGGTGATGTGTCGCAGCCGCCCCGCCGCCAGTCGCGAGCGCCGCAGACACAGCGGCGCCCGCCGCGAACAGCCCTCTGCGGGCCTGTCGCTCAGCGGCGCCTGGGATGTCCAGCCCCGGCGGGAGCCCGAAGGGCCTGGCGGCCCGTGCCCGCCGCGCCAGTCGGAGGCGCGCCGGGTGGTCGGCGCCGGCTTGGGGTCCGCTGCATCGCGAGCGTGCTTGCCGTAGGCGGGGCTGGCCGAGTAGACCGTCGTTGGCATGGTAGTGTTCCCTCGAGCCGATGTCTCTGGACAGAGGCACAGCGTGATGTGTGCCGATCTCCTCCAGGCCTGGAAGTGTGCTGCACTGTCCGACAACGTGGTGCTTCCTCGCGCCTGGCATGAACCTGCGAGAGGGAGCGTCACCAGGGTTGAGCTCTGATGGGATCCACCTGAACCTGAGCTGCATCCCAGAGGCGACTGAGATAGCGCAGATCTCCCGACAGACGACGTCGAGTGCAAAGTGTGCAGCTCTGCCCTTTTCACACGCGCAGACCACCCCGAGGCTGTCACCCAGGATGAGGTGCCGATGCCCATGCAGCTGCGAGTTGCGCGCGAGGCGCCGCACGGCCCAGCGCGCCCCCTCAGCCTCCAGGACGTGGATGGCTGCGGCCCGCCGCCAGCGACGGGCGGCCGCGACCGACCAAGGGTCTGCCAAGAGCCGCGCTGCCGGCACCTCCTCAAAGTGGGTCAGGGTGCCCTCCGCGGTGACCTCGGCCGCCGTGGCGTGGAGGAGCTGCTGTTCGACCAGCGTGTCCCTGGGGGCATAATCCGCCGTCAGGACTCCTCTGAAGCGACTGCGCTCCGAAAGGCTGCCAACTCGCCGAACATCACTGACGGGCCACGGCTGCTCCACCACGCCAAACCCCCATGGGGGGGCGTCCGTGGCGATGACCCGTTCGCACCAGGGGCGGCTCAGCGAAACGGTCACGCAGGGAAGCAGCGCTCTGAACCACGCGAGCTCCCGCTTCACCGACGACCAGAGAGGCTGCCGCTTGTCACGCGACCGTCTGCAAAACTCGTAGATCGCATGGAAGAGCGAGAGCATGTGCCGCTGCAGCATGACAGCCGCGGTGATATGGCCCATCAGCCTCTCGAGCTCGCGCCCCGTGACAAGACGTCCAGGTGCCAGTGCAAAATCGAGGCTAAACTTCAGCCGCCACAACTTGCCGCGCGACAGGCGCCAGGTGGCCGAGGGCTTGTGGAGCACGAAGCCGAGCAAGGTGTGCATGTCCCCATCGTCGCGGTCAAAGGAAGCCTGAATCCCCCGCGCGCCCAGGGCGGCCAGCATGCGCTCCACCTCCAGCGCGGGGTCGCCGCTGCCTGACGTGAAGACTGCGACGTTGTCGATGTGCAGCATCTTGGCGGTGGCGCACTGAGTCCCCAGCGCCGGTGCGGGCACCTTGTCCGCGATCCAGGGCGCGTCCGGGCTGATGTTGCTCAGGACATGGGCATGGGCCTCTTGAGTGAGGTGCACGGCCCACGACCAGCCCATGGGGACCACTCTGGCAACGAAGTGGATCATCTCCGAAGGGTCTGAAACCCCCAGGCGCTGGCGGGCTGCCGAATCCAAGAAGCGTGCTTGGACCGCTGGCAGACCGAAGAAGGCACGTGCCCACGACGGCAGCTCGTACTGGTAGAAGCAGCACTCGACGTCACCAGAGGCCACAGCAATCCCTCCAGCAGCGTCGACCTCCAAGTTCGCCAGGGCCTCCCCGCTCGCGAGCAGCGTGTAGGGGGGGTCCTGGAAATGGGCGTTAGACCTCCTGGTGTCGAAGATCAGCCGCAGCGACGAGTCCTTCTTTGGGACGAAAAAGATGCCAGCGCGCTCGATGATGCTGTCCTCGGCCGCAGGCTCAATGATGCCCGCAGAGAGCAGCTCGGAGAGGCACTCGCCATACTGGTAGCCATGCCGCTGCAACACTGGGTCCATGGCGCAGACCCTGGGAGCCTCACCCAAAGCAAAATTGCGAGCCTCCGGCTCTCGTAACATCTGCGACGAGTTACACAAGAGAGACTGCAGGTGCGGCGGCAGGACGTCAGCAAGCCGTACCCGCCCCGCCGCAGCCCGCGGGAGCGCCATGGCCCCCTTCCTGTAGGTTGTCGAAGCACCTTCGGCCATGACGTCTGCATAGCCGTTCCGCGAAGCCTGGAGCGTCTGCCACGCCCCCAGGGGAGTCAGGTCGGACGGCGGCGGCTCCACCCTGCCATAGAGCTGTGCGAGGCGCCGCACGGCGGTGACCTGGCAGGCCGCAGGGGCCCCCGCGGGAGCGTCCACCCCGCGCCCACCGAGGTCGTTCAGCGCAGCGATGCCCTCGCGCAGCCAGACCTCCTGATGCCTGCGCTGCCGCCCGCGCCGACTGCCGCCGCGCGGCAGAAGGCGTGCCGCCGCACCGTGCAGCAGCTCGTCGAGCGTCGCGCCAAGCGGGAGGGGCAGGACGTCGCGCGCGATGCCAGTGTCCGAGACTCCTTGCGCCGAGGCCGCCACCACCACCGAAGTGGCGGCCCTCCCCTGTGAAAGCGCCCGCTGCCCGGGGGGCTGCAGCGGCCGCGCACAAGCCGAAAAACGAGCGGCGGGCTAGGCCCGCCCGCGGCCGCGGCCACGTCGGCCTCGGCCGCCAGGGCCGCCGCCGCCTGCGCCGCCGCCGCCACCACCTTGATCGCCACCTCCTGGTGCGGCGTCGGCGCCGCTGCTGTCCACGCCGCGGGCCATGCGGCGCTCCACTCTGCCCTTGCGCCTCCCCTTGAGGATGGCGCCCTCCTCCTGCATCTTCTCTGCCACGTGCACCTCCAAGGATGGCGCCGCGAGAGCATGGCCCTTTGAGCGGGAGCCGCTGAGGAAGATCCTGCGCGCGTCCAGCCAGCCGTCCGAGTTTGCCGTGGCCCCCAGCGTGCCTGAGACCTCGACCTGGCGCAGGGCCTCGGAGTACACCTCGTCCCACCGCTGGAATCGCCTGGCTGCCAGCTCGGACGCCTCGCTGCCGGGGAGGTTGAGCTGGTCGGCCGTGGAGGCTGTCTCGATCAGCCCGCACAGGAACAAATGCTCGTCGATCCCGGGGTAAGCAGCCGCCAACCCCAGGATCTGACGCCACCAGTAGTGCCGCTGGACGGGCCCGCTACCCTGCTTCAGATGCGCCTGAAGCAGCCAGCCGATGGTAGCGGGCCCTTGCACGCGCCACTCCTGCGTCCTGAGCACCTCGCGCTGCTCGGCAGCCACCTCCGAGAAGGCGTGCCGCCGCTGGCCCGTACCGCTCCTCCAGTACCTCAGGATGCGCTCGTCCAGGACTTCATCCCGCGCGCCCCGTGGAGCAGGCGGCGCCTCCTCGGAGAGGGTCTCCACTCGCTCCAGCGCGATGACCTCCTCCGGGAACGAGGCCTTGGCGCGGTCGTCCAGGGCGTAGACGGAGGCGAACGTAACGTCCACTGACGAGCCCCGCCTGAAGCCCCACCGCGACTCCAGGGCGACCCAGCCGTCGTCCTGCTGCACGGGCGGCAGGGGTCCACCGCCGGCACCCGCGAGGAGGGCGGCCCGAGCCTGCTCGTCCAGGCCGAACTGGTACAGCATCTTCTTGCGCAGCTGCGGCGGGGCTCCCCCTCGAGGGCCAGCTCGGTGGATCTCCACGTGACTCTCGTCGGCGAAGTCTGCCGCGTACACGTCGGCATCAGGCGTCGCCACCACCAACCGTGAGCCGTCCACGTGGCCGCACAGAGGCCTCTCGTGGAACCGATGGTCCTCCAGGCTGTACAGACAGTATAGCTTGTCCCCCTGGCGGGCCGTCTTCAGCAGGGCGGGAAGCCCCCGCGGAACCATGGCCATGGAGCCTGCCGACGAGGAAGCCAATGATGAACGCGGCGCCCACAGCGAGGCACAAGACTGAGGCGATCTCCCAGAAGCTCGAGGGACACTCCAAAGGGGCGCTGCGAAGCTGCTCAGGGCCACACCTGTCAAGTTGGCGCTGCAGGACCTGCAGCAGCTCTCTGTCGTGCTCTCCTGTGAAGCTGCACGTGCAGTGGCAATCCCTGCGGAGAGATGTCCAGAGGTTGGCGGCGTACAGGCCAGTCGCAGCCCAATCGCGGACTACAGGGGCGAGACCGTACGCGAGCCCTGCCATAACAAGCGAAGCTCTGAACAGAAGCGATGGCTACAGAGCGAGCGAAGCGGACGCATACAATGAACAATACCGTGCACTGCTAAGATGACCTCAAGATGGCCCAAAACGGCCCAAGAGGCTCCCAAGAGGCCTCCAAGACGGCCCAAGAGGCCTCCAAGAGGTCCTCCAGGAAGGCCCGAAGAGGCCAAAATCAGTGATTTCCCGTTGGGTTCGAAGGATTTTGGTATTTGCGCCTTTTCGGCTTTCCGACGGCCCAAGACGGCCCAAGAGGCCCCCAAGGTCGCCCCAAGATCGCCCCATGACGGCCCAAGAAGCCCCCAAGACGGCCCCAAGAGGCCCCCAAGACGGCCCAGGAGACCTTTAAGACACCCAAGATGGCCTCTAAGACGGCCCCGAAGCACCCCACGAGGGCACCAAGTCGGCCCAGAGAGGCCCCCAAGACGGCCCCCGACGGCGTCAGAAGTGCCAGGAGCCCACCAAGACGGCCGAAGATGGCCTTAAGATGGCCCAAGACGGCCCAAGAGGCCTCCAAGAGGGCTTCCAGGAAGGCCCGAAAAGGCCAACATCATGGATTCCCCAGAGTTTTTAAAGGATTGTGGCATTTGCTTGTTGTTCGGCCTTCCGACGGCCCGAGACGGCCCAAGTACCCTCAAAGATCGCCCAAGAGGCCCCCAAGAGGCCCCCAAGACGGCCCAAGAGGCCTCCAAAACGCTCAAGATGGCCTCCAAGACGGCCCAAGAGCCCTCCCCAACGTCCTCCAAGAAGGCCCGAAAATGTCAAAATGGCCTCCAGACGGCCCAGATGACCTTCAAGATGCCCACGTGTTCCCCGAAGGCTTTCCAAACCGATTCGGGGAACACATGGGGAGATAGCTTGGCAGGTCTGGCCTCAACGTTCGGCCACATAGGCGCTTCCAAAAAGGCAGGGGGCGGCGGTGATTCGCCGTAGGCGTCTTCGATCCGCCGCCCCCTGTCGATTCATCGCAGGGATGCCTGGCGTGCCAAATCCTCTCGGTTTTGGTTTTTTCCAAAAGAACTCCTCCTGGCGCTTCGGCCCGTCCCGCCGGGGTCCCGGAAGGCCGCGTAAACCACCTCAGCGTCCACAAAAAATCCTCCAAGACGGCTCAAGATGGCCTCCAAGATGGCCACGTTGGCCCAAGATGGCCTCCAAGATGGTCCAAGATGGCCTCCAAGTCCGCCCAAGACGGTCCAAGACGGCCTCCAAGACGACCCAAGGGAGTCTAAGACGGCCCAAGACGACCCAAGAGGCCCCCCAGAGGCCTCCAAGACGGCCCAAGAGGCCTCCAAGGGGGGTCCTCTAGGAGGGCCCGAAGAGGCCAACATCATTGATTTTCCTTTGGTGTTTTGAAGGATTTTCGCATTTGCTTCTTCTCGGCTTTTCGATAAGACGGCCAAAGAGGCCCCCAAGATCGTCCCCACAGCGCCAAAGAGGCCTCCAAGATGGCCCCATGACGGCCCAAGAGGCCTCCAAGACGGGCTCCAAGAGGGCACAAAGACGACTCAGGAGGCTTTTTAGACGCCCAAGATGGCCTCCAAGACGGCCCTGGAGCACCCCAAGAGGGCCCCAAGTCGGCCCAGAAAGGCCCCCCAAACGGCTTCCGACGGCGTCAGACGGGCCAGAAGCCCACCAAAATTGCCGAAGTTGGCTCGAAGCTGGCCCAAGATGGCCCAAGACGGCCCAGGAAGGCCAGAAAAGGCCCAAAACACTGATTTCCCGTAGGTTTTCGACGGATCTTGACATTTGCTTCGTTTCGGCCTTCAGACGGCCCGATACGGCCCAAGAGCCCCCAAAGATCGCCCAAAGATCGCCCAAGAGGCCTCCAACATGGCCTCAGGACTGCCCAAGAGGCCACCAAGACGGCCCCAAGAGGGCACAAAGACGGCCCAGGAGGCTTTTAGGACGCCCCAGATGGCCTCCAAGACGGCCCTGGAGCATTCCAAGAGGGCCCCAAGTCGGCTCAGAGAGGCACCCCAAATGGCTTCCGACGGCGTCGGACGGGCCAGGGGTTCACCAAGACGGCCGAAGATCGCACTAAGATGGCCCAAGAGGCCTCCAAGAGGGCATCCAGGAAGGCCCGAAAAGGCCCACATCATTGATTCCCCATGCGTGTTTCAAGGATTGCGTCATTCGCTTTTTTTCGGCCTTCCGATGGCCCGAGACGGCCTAAGTGCCCCCAAAGATCGCCCAAGAGGCCCAAGACAGCCCCAAGAGCCCCCCCAAACGGCCCAAGAGCCCTCCAAGACGTCCTCCAAGAAGGCCCGAAAGGGTCAAAATGGCCTCCAGACGGCCCAGATGACCTTCAAGATGCCCTCGTGTTCCCTGAAGGCTTTCCAAACCGATTCGGGGAACACATAGTCCGATAGCTTGGCAGGTCTGGCCTCAACGTTCGGCCACATAGGCGCTTCCAAAAAGGCAGGGGCGGCGGTGATTCGCCGTAGGAGTCTTCGATCTATGCAGAATGAGAAGGGGAGGGAGGGAAAAAGAGAGGAGGGACGAGGGCGAAGGAGGATCACATCAGTCGTAGCGCCCCGGATCGGCGGCACTGGCCGGAAGCCACTGCAATATGGCTCTCGCCTTAGCACCGCGCACACTCGTTTTGATTAAAACACGATCGACGCACGAACCCGGAAAGGAGTATAGAAATGTAAGGCATGACAACGTTTCAAAAACACCTGATTGGGCGACGGGCAAATGCAATGCCGAATGTATCGATCTTGATGTACTGTGCCGAGGGCTGTGCTGTGCTACTCCGTGTTGAACTGCGATGTGCCATGCCGCGGTTGTGCTCTAGATAGCGTTATGGATCGAGTCCTCCCTGGCATCCGAGTCCTGACCGAACTGATCTGGATCTTAAGCTCGAGCTGCCTGAGCAGATGGTAGCTGCACCAGAACGAATCGACAGAGTGGACATGCCAGGAGGACGCGCCGCGGAACGTCCCAAGGGACGCGCCAGGCGACGTGCCAGGAGACGTGCCATGGGCACGCACCGCGGGACGTGCCAAGGGGACGCGCTACGGAACGTGCCAATGGACGTGCCGCGGGACGTGCCAGGGGACGCGCCGCGCGACGTGCCAGGCGGACTCGCCACGGAACGCGCCAAGGAACGTGCCAAAAGGCAACGGTGAGCGTATCGATCTTGATGTACCGTGCCGACGGCTGTGCTGTGCTGGGCCGTGCTGAACTGCGATGTGCCATGCCGCGGTGGTGCTCTAGATAGCGTTGTGGATCGAGTCCTCTTTGCATCCGAGTCCTGACCGAACTGATCTGGATCTTAAGCTCGAGCTGCCTGAGCAGATGGTAGCTGCACCAGAACTAATCGACAGGGGGACATGCCAGGAGGACGCGCCGCGGAACGTCCCAAGGGACGCGCCAGGCGACGTGCCACGGGACGTGCCATGGGCACGCACCGCGGGACGTGCCAAGGGGACGCGCTACGGAACGTGCCAATGGACGTGCACCGCGCGACGTGCCATGGGGACTCGCCACGGGACGCTCCGCGGAACGTGCCAAGCAACATGCCAGGCTGCAATGCTTAGGGTATCGATATTGATGTACCGTGCCGAGGGCTGTGCTGTGCCTGGGCGACCTGGACACGTGAAAACACGCGTTTCGCTCAAGACGTTCTCAACACATACTCATGCTAGACATCCGCCTGGGCAACCTGGACACGTGCAAACAAGCGTATCGATCGAGACTTCCTCGACACATCCTCATGCTAGGTATCAGCCTGGCCGACCTGGACACGTGAAAACAAGCCCCTGGTTCGAAACATCCTCAACTAATCCTCATGCTAGACATCTGTCTGGGCAACCTGGAGGCGTGAAACCAAGCGTCTCGCTCGAGACATCCTCAAGACCTGGGCACGTGAAAACAAGCATTTCACTTGAGAGATCCTCTGAATTCAAGTCCCCAGGGGAGGACAATCTATAACACAAAACAATGTCCGAAAAAAACAAGCGTTTCGCTAGGGACATCCTCAACTTTTTAATTCGCCGGCCCTAGGCGACCTCGTTATTTATCGCAGAAGAAATTCGCCGGCCCTACGGCCGTCAGATCCGGGGGAAAACCCCTGAAAGAGAACCCTGGGACTGTGCCCTTTCCGGGAAGAAATGCGAGAACATCATGGATTGAGGACGGGCCGTTTTCAAAGTGTGGCTCTCGCTTTAGCGCCGCGCAGATTCGTCTTACAAGAATGCAGGATTTCGCGGATGGAGGGCGGTTCCTTTTCAACATGATCGGCCCACGAACCTGGAAAGGAATATAGAAATGTAAGGCATGGCAACGTTTCAAAGACACCTGATTGGGCGACGGGCAAATGCAATGCTGAGCGTATCGATCTTGATGTACCGTGCCGAGGGCTGTGCTGTGCTACGCCGTGCTGAACTGCGATGTGCCATGCCGCGATTGTGCTCTCTATAGCGTTGTGGATCGAGTCCTCCCTGGCATCCAAGTCCTGACCGAACTGATCTGGATCTTAAGCTCGAGCTGCCTGAGCAGATGGTAGCTGCACCAGAACGAATCGACAGAGGGGACATGCCAGGAGGACGCGCCGCGGAACGTCCCAAGGGACGCGCCAGGCGACGTGCCAGGGGACGTGCCATGGGCACGCACCGCGGGACGTGCCAAGGGGACGCGCTACGGAACGTGCCAATGGACGTGCCGCGGGACGTGCCAGGGGACGCGC